TTTATTCACAGGATGGAGGGCTTCTTATAAATAATCCTACAGCATTAGCAGTGCATGAATGCAGATGTCTTTGGCCAAATGTCCCTCTTCAGTGTGTGGTGTCCCTAGGAACCGGTCGGTATGAAAACAATGGGAAAATCAATGTCACCTATACAAGTTTAAAAGCTAAATTGACTAATGTCATTAGCAGTGCTACAGATACTGAAGGTTAGTATCAGGTGATCATAGCTGTCTTGTTTTTGTAGTATAATTTTTAACTGCTTTCTTGGACTGAAAAGACATTTTGATTTTGTTTTGTAATCTACATTCATTTATATAAATGTCTTTATTTATTAATCCCATTTCTCAACATCCGGTAGAAGGATTAAATGTTTAAGTCATATACAAAGCTAAAGCTTTGTGAATTATTATTTATATTAATGAATATTATTTTTAAAAAAATCATTTAAAGATTTAGCCTTTTTTGCTTTTGTCCAATTAATATCTTGTATTAGTTACTTGGCAAATTGAGATTGAATTGGCAGTTGATGACAATGATTGCCAGGTTTTCAGTTAAATTAGCTACTTAAGATTGCTTATACCTCAATTTTGCCATTATTAAACCTCTGTTGATAAAAGTAGGTCTTTGTTAACGTTAGGCATAATGTTGGATAGAAAGCTCCATCTTCAAGGTTACTGGACATATGAACAATGGTAGAGTAAGCATTTTAGTAATTAAGGAAAATTGTTAATAGTGAAATCAATACATAATAACAATGCAAAATGTAGAATGACCATTTTACCATTTTTCACATGAGTGTTTCAATAATGTAGAAATAAGCAGTCAATCCAAACTTGAATTACTGTATAATTATTATTATCTATGTTAATTATTTCTTTATCTTCTTTGTTTGATTCTAACTAGGGGTTTATATGCCAAATTAATCCTAAAATTATTGAACTAGTTGACATAAGAATTTGCTTTTGTATAGACTAAAGCATCTTGCTTCAAAGAAAACCTGTTACAAGCCAGCTTCAACACACCACTGGAAGGGTGGATTACAATGGTCCTCTCAAATCCTGTTGTTTTTTACTTTAAACCCCGCCTGATATTTTACATATGTTTAGTAGAGATTTGCTAACTTTGATGTATCAACTTATATACACTGCTCAAAAAAATAAAGGGAACACTTAAACAATACAATGTAACTCAAGTCAATCACACTTCTGTGAAATCAAACTGTCCACTTATGTAGCAACACTGATTGACAATCAATTTCACATGCTGTTGTGCAAATGGAATAGACAACAGGTGGAAAGCTTAGGCAGTTAGCAAGACATCCCCAATAAAGGAGTGGTTCTGAAGGTGGTGACCACAGACCACTTCTCAGTTCCTATGCTTTCTGGCTGATGGTTTGGTCACTTTTGAATGCTGGTGGTGCTTTCACTCTAGTGGTAGCATGAGACGGAGTCTACAACCCACACATGGCTCAGGTAGTGCAGCTCATCCAGGATGGCACATCAATGCGAGCTGTGGCAAGAAGTTTGCTGTGTCTTTCAGCGTAGTGTCCAGAGCATGGAGGCGCTACCAGGAGACAGGCCAGTACATCAGGAGACTTGGACGAGCTGTAGGAGGGCAACAACCCAGCATCAGGACCGCTACCTCCGCCTTTGTGCAAGGTGGGACAGGAGGAACACTGCCAGAGCCCTGCAAAATGACCTCCAGCGGGCCACAAATGTGCATGTGGCTGCTCAAACGGTCAGAAACAGACTCCATTAGGGTGGTATGAGGGCCCAACGTCCACAAGTGGGGGTTGTGCTTACAGCCCAACACTGTGCAGGACATCTGGCATTTGCCAGAGAACACCAAGATTGGCAAATTCGCCACTGGCACCCTGTGCTCTTCACAGATGAAAGCAGGTTCACACTGAGCACATGTGACAGACGTGACAGGGTCTGGAGACGCCGTGGAGAACGTTCTGCTGCCTGCAACATCCTCCAGCATGACCGGTTTGGCAGTAGGACAGTAATGGTGTGGGGTGGCATTTCTTTAGGGGGCAGCACAGCCCTCTATGTGCTCTCCAGAGGTAGCCTGACTGCCATTAGGTACTGAGATGAGATCCTCAGACCCCTTGTGAGACCATATGCTGGTGCGGTTGGCCCTGGGTTCCTCCTAATGCATGACAAAGCTAGACCTCATGTGGCTGGAGTGTGTCAGCAGTTCCTGTAAGACGAAGGCATTGATGCTATGGACTGGCCCGCCCGTTCCCCAGACCTGAATCCAATTGAGCACATCTGGTACATCATGTCTCATGCCATCCGCCACGTTGCACCACAGACTGTCCAGGAGTTGGGGGATGCTTTAGTCCAGGTGTGGGAGGAGATCCCTCAGGAGACCATCTGCCACCTCATCAGGAGCATGCCCAGGCGTTGTAGGGAGGTCATACAGGCACGTGGAGGCCACACACACTACTGAGCCTCATTTTGACTTGTTTTAAGGACATTACATCAAAGTTGGATCAGCCTGTAGTGTTTTTTTCCACTTTAATTTTGAGTGTAACTCCAAATCCAGACCTCCATGGGTTGCTAAATTTGATTTCCATTGATAATTTTTGTATGAGTTTGTTGTCAGCACATTCAACTATTTAATGAACAAAATATTTAATAAGAATAATTCTTTCATTCAGATCTAAGATGTCTTATTTTTGTGTTCCCTTTATTTTTTTGAGCAGTGTATATCAAGGCTATTATTTCTGATATTTTTTTTGTTCTAGGTCACATTTTAATTGACTAGGTGTTAATATCAAAAGATGTTATACTTAAGGAAAATTAAGGTCTCACATTTAAAGTTGCATCCATAACAAATATCACTGATTTCAAAATGACACCATTCACACGACATCAGTGCATACTGTATATGCTGTGATTACATTTCTGTGTCAGCTTGTTGAGTGTAAATATGTAAGATAACGAGTTTATGGGATGACAACTTCACACATTGCCATTTTGCTAATTCTTGATTGTTCCTGCAGACATTAGTATATGTTTACTAAATACTAGAATCTTAATAAAATATCTGAATTCATACAAATTAATTTGAAACCTTATTCTTTAAATCCTTATTTTAAACCAAATTCTTTCCCATTTCTCTTTTAAAACTAGAAGTTCATATTATGTTGGATGCCCTTTTACCTCCGGACACCTACTTTAGATTTAATCCGCTGATGAATGAAGATATTCCTCTTGATGAAAATCGTAAAGAAAAACTGAATCAATTGCGGACAGATGGCATCCAATATTTAGAAAGAAATGATGAAAAGTTGAAAAAAGCAGGCAAAATATTATCACAGGAAAAAAATATTTTACAAAAACTGAGTAACTGGATGAGATTAAAAGCTGATATGTATGATGGCCTTCCAATTCTGTCAAAATTGTGAATATATAAAATGTTATGCATCATAGGTGCAAACGTATATGAAAAGGGTTCAACATTTGTTAGTCATTATGTAATCATTTTTTTAATTCAATGAGCAAACAAGCTATATAAAATGCATTTCAATCTCAGTAGCTCCTCTGTAGCTTCTTTTATTGGATCTGAAGTACAAACAGAAGGAAGACCTTCCAGTTCTATTTCTTGTCTCCCAGTCTGTCACCGTCACACTCAGTATTTCTCAGAATCCTTCAATCCGATATTCAGCAGGACTTGAATATGCAGATCAGTAATTATGACCACTGCCGATCTTTTTTTTTCTACAAACAGAACACTTGTGAAATTTGGGACTTTTTGATTTCTTGAAAGTATATGAGTATTAGTTTTCAGAATCTCACATTACTACCACTTATATTCAAGTGCGGGTATATTTTTACAAATTTGAAGTCTAAATTTGTGACAATTATGGTACAAAACTTTGAATATATTGTGAATGCACATAAAAAATCATGCAGTTTACAAAATCATACTGTGCTTAAGGAAAAATTACATCAGAAGAACCATAGCAAATATGTTGCTCTACAAATAATTGAGCCAGAATAAATCAAACAGTTTAATTCTCATTGAGATTAATGACAATAAACAATTTTAAAACCATTGGGAGTAGTTCAGCTAGTTTGCTGATTGAATTACTGTATATTATAGACTTGCAGGATATTATACTGCCATTAAATGGCATGAAAATCGTCTGATGATAAGATTTGTGCACGTAAACTGTTTTGTTTTAAAATGTTAGCAGTGTTTATATGTGCAATGCTTTAACTATTTTACTTTATCCAATTCAGTATTTGACATATTACAATATATTACACTTAATATCTATTTATTTTTCAAAAAAAAATTAAAAACTTTTCAAAGATTTTGATTCAGAACAATTACTTTGCTATTTGAAAAGCAAATATCTAGAACTGAGTCTTGTATGAAATAAAATAAATATTGAAAGATCCTCATTGTCTTCATTGTGTGATTTTATTTATTTAGTGATGTGAAATCATCATGCCAAATTATGTTTTCATATTTAACATGTATCTTCATGTACATGTTATTTAAGTCAGTAGCAAAGTAAGACTTTCCAATGAGGAAAGTTTTGGGGAAAACTTAATAGCATGTTCAGTTAATAGGGAAGCCATACACTAAATTATGAAACCCTGTTGACAGCTGATAGAGTGTCAGAAAGATAAGTCAGCAAGCTTTGGGAACCCTATCGTATTTTGTAAGTCATAGTTGTGGTTGACATATTAGTCATTTGTGGTTTGTTTAGTAAACCATGTTTCAACTGTGATTTAGTGAAATATAAAAAATGAATTTATTTGTGATAAATGTTCCTCTGTGGTCAGTAGTGAACAAAGTGGTTAGATCCATGCAAAATAAACTTGAGTTCACAAAGCATGCTAAGCCAAATCAACATAAGCCACTTTATTGCTTAGCAAAATGTGTCAACCTAATGGTCCTAACCAATATATTTTCCATAGCCACCAATAAAGAAGAGCAGCAGATGAGGACTATTGTTTTCCTTTCCTTTGTTTCTCTAGAAACCATTATCTTTGAAGTAGATGAAAAATCAGCTAGGTAAGAGCCTAAGTTGTAAGTAACTTCCCTCCTGTCAAATATTTGTGCATTACTACTAAACTGTTATTTTTAAGATAATTACAAAACTAATCAAATTCATATAAATGATCATACATTTTCGCTCCCCAAATCCACCCAGTGTATTCTTCTGAATGTTGTTGCCCTTTGTATATTATTAAAAATTGGAACTTAACAGTAGTTCATAGTTATAAATAAAAAAAAGAATACTGAGCTATGATGAAAGTACTGCAGGTTCAATTCCTGCCTGGTCATATGTTACTTATGTAGATTAGTAGAAATGGAATCAAGAACACAGTTTGTAAAATATAATATTCAGTAATATTTATTACTTAATTCGGATATTAAAGTTTTATATACTAATTCAATGAACCCACAAAAAGTGTTGCTTCTAAAATGCCTTCTAAAAAAAAACATTGCCTTTAAATTAAAGCAGAGAATCTGAACACAACTTCATCTTGTTTGAAGGCCAAAAGCCACTTAGCAAGCATCCTAATTCTTCATGCCTGATAGCTGGGTATATTTTCAAGGGGCAGCCCCCCCCCCCCCAGGATCCAGGTAGGTCATTCCAGGTTAGCCTGCTGCTCATTTATAAGGTCACTAATAAAGAGGAATCTTGTTGACAGATCTGGCATTAACCAGCAGCAATCAAAAAATGAAGGTCCCATTGATCTGCTGAGTAGGGTACAGCATTGAGAACCAGACTGCATAACTGGTATTACGCATTGGTGACATCTTCCCTGTTTGAGGCCTGCCCTCTGACTCCCATCAAAATGTCTCCTGGCCATCATGATGTGGATATGGCAACCCCACTGCCAGGATTCTGGCACTTACCCCAATTCAATCATGAGTCTTGAACCAAATTTCCAAAACTAAACAGGATTTATTTGGGAGTTAACATGTCGGCACTGCCTGGGTGTAGCCAACTCTGAGACACATAAATTCACTGTCACCCTTGACTCTGGTTTTCCCTCTCCCCCCTAGGTGTATCATAATTCATATTCTCCAATGAGACACATCCATAGCCAAGAGTCATCAATCATATTCTCCAGTTAGATTTTTGTGCGGCAGAAACCAGTTACTATCTCTGAAAAACTATATATGGAATGCACTTTTGATTTCCAAGCTGCCGCACTGCTCTTTCAAACTCCTTTCCCCCCTCCCTTTCTGTTGGCCATACAAATTGGTCATAGAAACGACCATAGAAATGTTTTATGAGTTGACACCCTCCATCCATCCCTCAGAGATCATATTATCTCCTAGCCCTGGCCTAATGGTTCCCTACCTTGGGAGTACTCCATCAAACCACATGCACCCAGACACTTACAGTTAATCTAAGTGTAGTGGAGCTCTCTCCAGGCAGCTCCACTTCCGACACACTAATAGCAATATCATTTAGACTTATATACCACTTTATAATGCTTTACAATACTTTCTGACTGGTTTACAATGTCAGCATATAACTCCCAACAATCTGGATCCTCATTTTACCAACCTCAGAAGAATGGAAGGTTGAGCCAATCTTGAGCTGGTCTCCCGGCAGTATACAGAGTTAGCCTGCAATACAGTCCAACCATTATGCCACCACAACTCCAATAAGGGGATAAACTTCTGTTCTGTCTCACCTGTGGCCACGAGGTGAGAGTCCAAATGTCCAAAGGAAAAAACACGAACAGACAATATCAGGAACTTTCCTTTGGCTAAATTCGTTGGCAGTTTTCCCAGAAGCTGTCAGCAAATTCAGATAACGAGCAGAACTATAAATCAGAGCCGAACGGCAAACAGAAAACTTTTTCCAAACTGCAAACGCAAATAACAAAGTTTGACCCGAACGGGGATTCCAAGCTAACACGCCTCCTTATATTTCCTGAGGGGCGTGTCAGTCTCTTTCCTCAGTCCCTGATTCGATGTCTCCTTCCAGTTTGTGCTTGACGTTTCTGCTTACGTCTGTTTCTTGCATCAAACCAAGATTCTTCGGTTTGATCTTCATTCAAGGACTCTGGCATGTTCTCCTGATTATCTGCCGACACAGGTGTAACTAATGAGGAAGGTCCTGGAGAGGATGAGGATTCCGAAACTTCCAGCAAAGCAGGTTCAAACCCCAATGCCCTATCTTCCTCTTTCTCTTGGCTCACATTTGTGTCACTCAACAAGGCAGGCTCAAACCTTAATGCCAGATCTTCCTCATCACTCGAGTCTATGTCTTCTAACAGAGCAGGTTCAAACCTCTGAGTCACAACAAACTTCATTGTCCACAATATAGGGGACCTTTGGCTGCCAGTCCTTAACTGAAGCTGGCCAACTCCCATGTGGTCTTGGCACCATCCAGGTATCTGCTATCCAACTGCTCTTCATGACACTTGCAGCTATGAGCATTCACTCTGGCTGGCTAGTTTCCCCTTGTGTCAGGAGTGCAGCTGCTCCTCCTGCCAGTTGCCAGTTGCTCCCATTCCCTCAGCTGGTCTTCTGGCCATCCTCTGATCTGAGCTGCTCCCCTCTGAGCTGTGCAAATCACTGTTGTATCTGGATATGGCTCAGCTGTTGCGATGGCTTCCTTGGATGCTGGCTCAGATGAGGAAGAGCCAGCTTCAGGGGGCAGTGTCAAGGAATTGGAGCCTCAGATGGTTTCAGTGGGAAAATTAGGGGAGCCAAGGTTGGAAAAAGCAGAGGTAGGCAATCAAGGGTGAAATGGCTCAGGAGGCACTTAAGACAACCAGGTTAGAGCCACTGGAAAACTGGTGAGCTGCGCAGACTGGGAAGGAGATGCAGCTGCAACCGGTCAATGCTGACAAGGAGTTGCTTCCCACCTGATGCACAATGTGCAGGACAAGGCTACGATTTGTTCTGCCTTGTGCCCTTGTCATGGCTTTGTCTAGCCCAGTCATGGCTTTTCATCTCACTCTACTGCGGGCCTGCCTCCGGGCTGGATATGTCACGCGCAGACCACGCCCATCCCGGCTCCACAAAGGCAAAAAACATTGCGATAGGTCATGATCAAGCCTGTGATGCGATCGAGTTTGACACCCGTGCTCTACTGTCTTGCTTCCTCACTTCCTTGCCTCGCAACTTTGGTGCAGAAGGAACTGCAACTTGTCTTGCTTGGGTCTTGGCTGGGTGAATTTTGCTACGTGTGAGAAGTTTTTTATTCAAATATATTTTATTCTTTATACTGTTTCTATCTTTCCTTAAAATATTAACAGACTCCACAATGGCCTGAGAATCACTATCCCCACTAGATAATTTACAGTCAATCTGAAATTAAGTTAATCAACTAAAATTAGCAAACCCCCCAAATAAGTTACCCAGTCCAAATCCACATATCAAAGGATAAAGTTTGCAAACACAGAGTTAATTAAATTAGGTCTCCCAGAGGAACTGCCTGTGAATAATAATAATAATAATAATAATAATAATAATAATAATAATAATAATAATAATAATAATAATGATAATAATGATAATGATAATAATAGATATTTCACACTGGACTCACTATATAGCTCTCACTATAAAAATCTGCTGCTGTACCTCATTTCTCTGGTGCCTGGTCCTAAAGTCAAACTGCTTTGCTTTTAGGAATAAATATTTCTTCCTTTGTCACAGCTGTCTGGATGACATTTTTATTTATTTTTGCACAGTCTTGTCTCACAGCGTGAGGAGTAAAATCTCAATTCCAAAATTGTTGGAATACAAAACAATTTTATTAAAGCATTTGCAAAGGCTGGTGGATTTCCAAGCAAACAAGCAAGAGAAACCACACCCAGTTACAGATCCCAGCATATTTTATACAGTTCTATCACTGGCTGCTTGTCCATCCTTCCCAGGCCCAGTTGATGGGCCCAGGTCA